AAAGATTAAAGAAAAGTCTGTTGTTGAACAAGAACTGAGCAAGGAATGTTATCTCTCCTTCAGCAGAGCTTCTGACTAACCAGGGGGAGTCCGATGCCATCACATCCTTTAGAAACAAGAAAAAACATTGACTGATCAAAGGGCTCATTAGCATTTCAAAATGAGGAGCATAAATCTAGAAAATTCTCAGAAGATAAGATTACTTGTTCTCAGGACCACCTGATAACTGGTACTCCTGAGGAGGGAGGTAGGAAGTAGACCGATCACCTTAATTATCAGCCGATAGAAGAGAAGGGTGCAGTGGTGGAACACAAAGAAAATCTACCACCATTCTTGCTGCCCTTGGATGCTATAGACTGGAGCTGGCATTGCTATGAAAACACAGAAGAGAAAGAAACCTCCACCCCATATGCCCAAATATGTAGCTCAAATCTAAGGGTAGCTCTAAGCTCTGAATTTCTTTAATGTACCATCTGAATGAGCATTGTGCAATATTAGTGTGTTAACAGCATTCTAACAGCCTAGTTACTCCTTATCCTGCAAAATAAATATTGTACCAACCAGCAGTATTAATTCAGTCCTCATGCTCAACCAGGGCCTCACTGTGGAGTCCTACGGGTGACTTTTAGGCATGAAACCCAGAGCTCCCTAAGACATCTGGTCAGCACCAGGCATTATGCGGGAAGCCAGAGAGTCAAGAACCTGCCCAAAGAGAAGAAACAGCACCAGGGCCTACTCAGGGGCATCCAGGACGTGGGGCACCTTACTCAGATGGTTTTTCCAGCCTTGAATGATCCAAGGGATTCTGAAATATCTAGGAAGGTACTCCAAAGTACAAATGCAGTGAGGGAGTCCAGAGCCAGGTCTTTTCTTGACAGAATATCAATATGATTCTAAATTCTAGTGTAATGTAATATGGCAAAAGAAACTTATCATCTGCTATATTTATACTTATCTTTGCCATATCTAGATATTTCAACTCCTAATTAGTAATTTTTTCTTATTCCTTCTTTACATTCTGTACAATCATTACTTTCAGGGGAGTATCTGAGATCTGAAAGCAAGAAAAGCAAGGAACACCTTTTTAAAAATCTACCCTTTTTTTTCTATATTACTCTATTTTCTACATCACTCTATTTTTTACGTCACTTTTAGAAAGTAAACATGTAGGCAGAAAGACCGGAAACATAAAAGTGGCCAAGGGAGTCTAAATATTTCCTGGGGTATGTGGTACATATGTTGGGGACATAGACTATTCACAGAAATTTATGAATGACCTGTTTTCTTTGATATGTCCAAATTCACAAACCACTCAAGATATTACAAATGATTCTTTCTCTCTCTCTCTACACGTGTTCACTTTTTTTTTTTCAGTAACTACATAGCTCATCAAGGCATGAACTATTATAAGTTGTTAGTTTTAACCATTCCCTGATTATGCTTATTTCAGTTCTTCTAGTTTTTCATTATGTTGCACTGGACATCTGTACATACAATTTTATATACGGTTTTCTGCACACTCTCTGCAGAAGGCATGTGAAGTTTCAGAATTCCTGAGTCGAAGTATATGTGAATTTGTAATTTGTACAGAGCCAAGCTGACCTTCCTGTTTTCCCTCAATGGGCTCACAACTCATAATTGCTCTTTAAAAAACAACAACAAAAATGTAATGTGATTATGAAAGCACTCATAATTATATTCATTTATATTTTCCTAATTCCCAGTGAGTTAAATATTTTGAATAAGTTTATTAGACTTTTGTATTTCTTCTCTAGTGACTCTTTTCATTACTATCACTTAAATTTCTTTAAGACTGTATTTTTAAAATAATTTTGTAGTTGTTTTTTATGTATATACTTATATCCACCTGTGGCTATTATATGTTGCAAATATTTTATTCAAACTTTGCTTGTTTTTCATTTATAAAGAATTGTAAATTTATATATAGTTAAATCATATAATCCTTTGTGTGGCTTCTAAGGCTTTTTGCTTGCTTAGAAAGGCCCTCCCTGTGATAAGATTATAAAATGTTTTTATATATTTTTGATATATTCTACATACACATATATGTATGTACATACATATACACACAGACACACATATTTTACTTTACATTTGATTATTTTTAAAGTATTTAATTTAATTTCTCTGGAATTAGTATATATTAGGAGACATAGGTTTTTGCACACTTTTTCCTGATAGGTTGCAAATCCCAATATCATTTGTGAATATGCCATATTTTCTAAGTTGATTTGAGATGCTATATTTATTAAAAATTAAACTTATGAATATATATGTGGGCCTGTTGATCAATTTACTTATATTTTTAAGAAATACTATTCTATTTTTATTGCTATAACTTTGTAGTATATTATGACACTTGATAAGATACATCCTTTTTCTGTTCTTTTTGAGGTTAATCTTTATTAGATGCTCTCGATCCTATCTGTTCTAGTATCAGAAATCGATGCTACAATTCTGATATCACACAGAGTCTCACTTCCTTGGGTTCTTAAAAAATTTTTTTAGAGAACAGAGATTTTGTTATTGTACTTCTGTTTAGCACATTTGATGGACTGACAATTAAATGATTACATGATTGCAATGTTTTACCTTATGAATGTCAGCTTAAGTCATGTGTGATATTATTATTTAAAATATTCGGTGAGCTCAACAAATTTATTCTAGAAATTATGAAATTATTTTTTGAAAATCCTATTAACAGGATTAACTATCTAAATGATTTTATAGTAATAATATCACATGTAACTATCTAGTATTTTACATTTACAAATATTTTTATCTATGTCTTATACCAGAAGCAACGAAAGAAATCAGAGCTAAAGTGTGTTTTCACTAGGGAGATTTCAAGATAATTTAATCAGACCATTCATTATATAGTGTATAAAATGGTCAAGAGATGGGACTCTGGTATCCAACATCCTGATTTGTGAAGGAACATTTTGATCAATTCACCTATCTGGACTTTACATCCCTTATCACTAAATAATAAGAGGTAACGTTTGTTGATCATTTACTATGTTGGCACTGCTTTGAACACTTTATGTACATTAACTCATTTAATTCTTACAATATCTTATAAGGTAGATACAATTATTATTTCCAAAATATATTTTCAATATATATATGGAAACATATATAAGTTGGAAATAATAATTGTACCTATCCATGGACATGGACAATGGACTAGTGGTTACCAGAGGATGGGGGGAAGGGAGAGGAAGACAGGATAAAGGGGGTCAAATATGTGGTGACAGAAAGAAATCTAACTATGAGAGGTGAACACTTAGTATAAATATATATATGCCTTACTGTTAAATTGTACAGCTGAAACATTGGATTTCGTTAACCAATGTCACCATAAATAAAATTAATTAAATAATTAATTTTTAAAAATAAATAATTGTTCCTACTTTATAGGATGTTATAAGAATTAAATCGGTTAATGTCCATAAAGTGTTCAAAGCAGTGCCAACATACTAAATGATCAACAAACATTAGCTCTTATTATTCAGTGATAAGGAATGAAAGCCCAGATAGGTGAATTGATCAAAATGTTCCTTCACAAATCAGTAGCATATAGAAAAGATATCAGGTACCATAACTCCTAGACAATTACTCTTCCCAGATACATATGAGGCTGCACAGTTCATGAAAGAAGCCTACCATAGGGGGAGGTATTGAAAAGGACAGAGCTTTTGTTATTTTCACGCTAGTTTCCCCTTTAACCTGTTTCTGTAATCTCTGGAGCAGCGTAGGCAGCCTTTGCAATAACTAGTGTGCTGAGAATGAGGAATATGTCCTAAAAACATTAGGCTTGGATGAGCGCCAAAGCTTTAATAGCACTCTTTGAACTGAGTCACATCGAATCTGGAACTATCCATCTTCATTCTGAATAATTACTAAGACTTTGAACCTGACATAAGAGCAAGGATAGCTACGAGGACCCAAATATTTGTAAATTAATTGCCGATAGAGATTGATTTGAGGAAATTAAGTTTCATATATAATAGCCACTGAATCATCTTGCAGTTTTCCATGTTTTTGGTTCAGCAATTAAGCATAATAAGGTTTATTAATTTTTTTTATCTTTAATAGAAAAATTTTCTTGTTCACTAAGAATAGAGAAATCCAATGCCTTTAAATGGCCATTTTATTATTACTTCTCTTTAATGGACTTTAGTAACCACCATTTCCAATAATCTGATAAAAAGAACACCCAAAGTAAAGCAAAGCAAAATTTAACTTGGATCTTTTGCTAAACATCCTTTTTATATAAGCATAACTAAAATAGTTCCTTACAGACACAAAAATAATTCATTCTTTTATTAAAATTACTATTTATTGAAGGTGTCATCATTTGGCACCTACAAATACATTACATGCATTATTATTTGTATATGTGTGAATGTATATATTCATTGTGCAATTCTCTTGTACTTCTTGTTTCTCTAAGATCTATGTTGCATATGAGAGAAAAAAATTATTTCGGTAAGTGTAGAGAGAGTTTTAATAATGATTATAGATCACAGGGGGACAAGGGGTCTAGCAACAAAAGTAATAAATTAAGAAACAAGAATTTCTGCTACTTTTAAAATTCAGAAGCTTATTTACTCTGCATAGCTTTTATAAGAAACAGAAAAAGAAGAGAAAGATTAAATTCTCATATTTATATTCCTCAAACCTCCTATAGAAAATTTCCAATGCTATGAAATTTCTTAGACAACTAGTTATTAAAAATCATAATAATTCGCTGGAGATTTCATTAACCCTTTACATTCCCAAGATCAAAAATAAAAAAGCAATGTCCAGCATTTTTGCCCCAGGCACTGCTAAGCAGGAGTGTTCACTTTTTAAAGATGATGACTAAATTCATACTACTGTAGGGAGAAAAATATAAAAAGATACACTTTCTACCTTTTTCTTTTTTTTTTACTGAAAGACTCCAGAGCTGCTGATTTGACTGACTCTCTTCGGTCATGAAGATTCCTGTCCTTCTCTTTGTTTTATTTTTCTTTTTGGCCCCGTTGCCACCAGGTAAAATCTTAATTGAGTAGGTAAAATATTTTTCTGGAGAGAAGAGTCTTGATTGATGTCAACTGGAGGTATAAGAGTGACTAAATTACCAAGAGAGTGGTTTGTGATGGTCCCAGAAGTAAATCACAAGAAAGGACTTATGATCTTCCTAAAAAGTAAGCACTCCTGGTGAATCATATCATTGTGGGAGACAGTTTAAGGACTTGATCAAATGCTTTGTTCTCAGTCTGAGTGGGCTGTCCAGAAAGGCTAGCTAGCTAGGATGTCAAAGTATATTCATCTGGATCCTTGAGAAATAATGGGGCATTGTGTGTAGTACAATAACAGTGGATTTTCTACTAATTTACAAGAATGATAGATTTGGCTATATTATGTTGCAAATTTACTTCGATAATTCTAGTTTTAAAAAGTTGCTGTTTTCATTGATTTAGAGTCTAAGAGCATTTTAATAACTTTATTATCTTATGTCCAACTAAATAACAATTAATATTAACCATATAATAAAATGAATATGTTCATTGCAGTTATTGATACCTGGGTTCAGATTGGTTTCTGCCACCATGTTATTTAAACTCTTTCAACATTAATTTCTGCACTTGTGAATTAAGTATAATAATTAAGTATACCTTAGAGAATGATCATGAGAATTAATAATAAGCAAATATGTAAAATGTCTAATATAGACTATGGATACATGAGATTCTTCATAAATATTATTATTTTTATGTTGTATTGAAACATCTTAGAAAATAACCTCTTAGTGCCTCATTTTGGAGGAAGAAACTCTTCTTTGACAACTATCTTCTTTGACAACTATTATAGGAGACAATTGAGGCAATATTTGCCCTGTTGGATTGCATGTGCTTGGGTTGTGTACCCTCCCTGTGTATTCATAACTCTTAGGTTGGATTAGTAGCCAAAAAAACCCACAAATGTGTCTTGATGGAGATAATTAAAAGAGTTGTTTTGACACATTTCAGACTACTTGAAATAAGAAAAGTATTTTTCTTGTGTATGCAAGAACACTGTAAAAACACATACCCAAGAAAATAATTTCACTATCTTAAAAAACAAAACAAACAAAATGAAAAGTCTAGCCACTTCTAATTTAGAAAGGGACTAGAACTTCAATAGTTTACTATTCGAACTCCAATTCCATTTTTTAGTAGCACAGTTGAAATTAAGTGCACTAAAAATAAGTCTATCTTTGAGTAAATTTAAAAAATAAAACACCTAAGTATTTTGGATAAAATATTCAAATGGTTTCTATTATTTTATAATTAAAATAAAATTTCTCAGATAAAAATTATGAAGACTATTTTATTACATCCTTCTAAATTCAGGACACATTGAATTAAAGCCAGATTTTATTTTTACTAACCCCAAATGGGAGTTATTCTTAAAATAGTGAAGACTAGTATGTAAGATGACTACATTTGGATAATAAAATATTACCTCCAGTTGTTATCATGATTTACATGTGTCCCTAGTGTCACTTGCTTTTGAAAAAAAAAATGAAAACCTTCATGACATTTTCAGTATCTTCAGAAACCTACAAGACTTGTAAGTGTGCATGGTTTCATCTAAAAGTTGAAAAATTTGCAATTTCTTCTTATGCATAAATATGAATTTTTATATGATGCAATAACTGTTATCTAGAGAGAAGCCGTTTGTTGTTTTTGTTACTAGTTGAAAAATGCTAATTTACAATTCCATTTAAATAATGTTATTTTTTCTCAAACTAGTGCTTGACAGCTGTCATCTTCTGTTTTTTTGTAAATTCCAATTAAGTCAACATGGATGCTTCACGCCCCTCATGTAGGACGGTATAATTTGAAGATGCATTTTTAAGCCATCGAGATCATGTCTTTTCCCTCTAGCATTAAAAGCAATAAATAACATCTCTCTATATAATACAAATAAAGAGACATCATTAATTTAGAGTGGAACAACAATCACAATAAAATCAATTATATGGCAACAAAATCAATATAATATGGGTTTAACTTTTTTCTGTAAAGTGTAGTTAGTTACCCAAAGTAACAATTTTATGCTAACAAACTTTACTGAAATCAGAGGGCATCAATATATTGGGTTATCAATACCATCACAGTTGGGTCCTCTATGGTAAGATCCTGGGGGATGAGAGAAGAACACTATTCCATACCTTTTCTGCTAGCGTCTGATAATTAATCATTGTTTAATGCTTTTACTTTGGGGATCTTCCTCCCTGAGTGATCTAATTTATAAATGTAAACGTTTCTTGAAGAAGTAAAACATTAACTCTTCTACACATGATATGAAAGAGTTCATTAATTGGCATATGTTGTGATAATGCAGGCTTGAGTGCTTACAGAGGAGAGGATTCTAAGAAAATGAAACATGAGGAGATGCTGACCATGGGTGACCAAGTTTACCCTTCTTCACTGTGTGTCTCAGAATGGCCATAAATGGCATCACTAGTACTCTCAGTAACCCCTTTTTACCCTGACTAGCCTCATAGTGTTGTATGTATTCAAAGAATCTCTTTTATCCCAGGGTCTGCTAGGGTTCTCTTCTTTCTTCTCATGAGAGAGAGTCCTAAAGATAAAAGCAAAATACTAATTTAAACAACATAAGTTAATTTTTCCATTTTTGAATCCTAAAGTCAAAACTATTTGAGGGTTTAATTTCTTTTGAAATATAGGGGAAAAAAATTAGATGAGTAGGTAGTCATAGGGATATATGATATATGTTCCAAAATTACTCTGGTCTAATGATATCTCTTTAGAAATTCTCATGGAAAACTAAGTTTTAACCACTAGTTGGCCCAGCTAAAACCTGGAGAAAGAACTGACAATGAAGCAGAATATATTACAAAACTGTCATTGCCTGAAAAACAAATGTCTTCTTAAACTCTACTCCAGGGAAGAAAACTTAGCATATGCAAATGCTATAATAATCATCATGTCAACATTGTTTTATACCAAGTTTGGAACACTGAGACACATGTAATGCATGAGTAAATAATATGTACTTTTCTTTTCTTTAAACAGTGAAATGTGCCATGAAAGACACCTATAGTTGCTTTTTCAAGAAAGGCAACTGTAGAAAAGAATGCCACAATTTTGAAAAACCAGTTAGTCTCTGCACAAAACTACAGGCCAAGTGCTGTATGTAGAAGTCTGAAATAAAGATCAGCATCTCTGAAAAATAAAGCACAGTAAGTATAAGGATTCTTAATGAATGAAACCGAATTACCATCTACTCTTACACAGAACATATTGATTTCTTGGTCACCTGACACCCTTTGAGGAACCAGATTCCCTCCTAAGGATCTGACAACAGTAGGAAATATCCAATATATAAGGTGGTTCTGTGGAAACATGTCATCATTTTAGATATCAGTCCTCTATTAATTGGAAATAACGCTAAACGATGCAAAAAACTTTATTATTATCAGAAACCTTCCATTCAAAGGTGTCCAAACTGATAGGAACATCTATCCAAATGTGGAAGGAATTGAGAGAGACTAAAGAAATGAAATAGATAGGATCTTCAGCAGGTCATGGATCAAGGGACCTAATTCACTTCAAACAGGACTCCCTAACATCAGTCGAACCTTTCAGTTTTATGTATTTGTTATCTTCAATGGGAAATTTTAAAAAGAGGCCATGTCTAAAACTAAGGCACAAGTGTATGACAATGAAAACAGGCAACAGAGTGATCTGATGAAAGTTGGTACAGTCCCATAGCTAAGACCTAAAGAACAGGGGACAAAATTCAGTTCGATCACTACAAAAGATAATCATTGCTCACTAAAAACATTAGTAACTTTATTAAGTCATATCTTTGTATTTTAAACTCTTCCATGGTTTTTGAAACACTTAGAGATATAGAATTGTTTTTGATTGTCACACGATTTCTATGAAATAATGCAATGTCCATGAACTATATCAGGTAACTAAGCAGAGACATGTATTTAAGGACACAAACCCTGGAACCAAATTATAGAGGTTCTAAATCTGCAGAGCAATCACTGTGTAAATGTTCTTAAATTAACCTGATTTGTTAAATACTGCTTAGAGAGTTTGTGAGGGCATATAGTTAATTAAGCAATTATATACAATTGCTCTGTTATATAAAATAAGTTCTTTTATATAATAAACACAATAAATTCAAATACAGATTTGCATACTTTCCTTACTTTCAAATCATTAGGGGCAGCTGGAGAGAGAGGGCAAGGTAAGTACAGAGTTGAAAAGAGAAGCCACATCTGAAACTAAGGAGCAGACATAGAAAATGAAAACAGGTAATTAGGGAGCTCTGATGACCTATATGTTTGTTTGGCTAATAGCACTTTGAATAAGTTTAGGAAACAAACTTTTAATTAGATGGATCTGGTAGCCAAGCAAAACATGCCTAAATTTTTATTTCTTTTTCTTTGTCTCATTTTTTTTTCTTGCACACAAAACTTTCCAGATTGACTTTAGCAACTTAAACTTTTATAAGGAGATAGAAAAGAGAACTCTACAACTCCTCAGGCTTGTATAATTTGCTTTCAAACCAATTTTTCTTTGTTTATAATCCATATAAGGAAAACTTGCTCTCAGATGACCTAGACCATCAGTTGTAAAACTTTTCATACATAAAGACCTCTTCTGCTGTAAATTTCATAGTTCTTCCCTAGGGAAGTAATTGCAATTTGAAGATCTAAAAAGTTTAAGAAATTATAATATTACCAGAAAATAATCTATATGTGCACCCAAACACATACACGCACGCACTCATATGTATGTGTATATAAAGATAGATATGTAGGTAGGCAAGCAGATAGATACATAGATGATGGTAGATTAGATAGATGATAGATGACAGACAGATATGTAGATAAAGCTGCACAAGTTATTATTCATTTAATCTACAGATAGTGTTTGTACACATTTCATTTAATCTACAGATAGTGTTTGTACACAGTGATGTATTCACCAGTCACTTTCAGTCAGTTTTCTACTGGATCTGGCAAAAAATTGGGTATCATTGACATAGACAGTTTTATAAAATGTTCATAAACTGGATACATCTCAATACCACAGTCATTAGGGGCATATAAGAAAAATTTTTAAAAAATGTTACTTGTCTAATCTGCATTATTAAATATGTCATATCCACTTAAGTCCACCAACACTAGCAGTCTTGTCCAATAATTGTCAGTCAAGCTTGCTCTATTCCGGCTCTGAAGTCGGAACACAAGCACATTAAGTTTAGAAAAAGCTACAGCCACCATGGGACGCCTTCACTTAATTAGGGAACCGGCCACCTACTGTGGAGTCAGAAACCTGTTGTCATAGTGATTATTACTGACATCTGATAAAGAGATTATCTACCTAACCATAGAGCAGCTGCAGAAGAACTTATAATTGTCAATTATAACAAAAATGATATAACAGGTAGTGGTTCTTTTGCTTCAGTCAGGTGGTCCTATCTCTACCCCAATTGAAATTTTATTTTCTGAGTCTGATTTTCATACTTTGTTCATGGAAACTCCAATGTGTTTCAATAAATTTTAATCTCAAATTAAAAAGCATTGAGATTTTAATTCTATTCTTTTATAGAAGTTTCCAAGAATCCTTTTGCTACTTTTGACTATACTATCTTGAACAACATTTAATGTAAATTATTTTTTGCAGAAAAAGGAAAAACAAAACAACAAAATTGTTATTATATTACCTAGAAGCTCATTCATGGGCAAAAATTATGAACATAAGACAAATAAATGAAAAAGAGTAAGATTCATTGGTCTTGCTAAGCCTTCAATTTGGTAATTTATTAATTTATTAAATAACTGAACTAGCAAGTAAAAAGTCAAGAAAAAGGAAATACATAGATTAATGACTACTTTTCTTAGCACTTCAGAGAATTGAAATGAATGAAAATTATTCACCTGTTTAGAGGGAGAAGGAACCAAAAGTTAACTGATGCACTTCAATATAAATACTGATTTAATAGTCACTTAGTTTTAATGACTTCAGGACAACAGTCATAAAATCCTAATTCTTTTCACTTTTTAAAAATTTCCATTTAATCATATTCCAACCTTCACCAAAAAATGTTTAACTGCAATTGAGCATCAAAATGTAGTGTTAAACTTTCTTCTGGTCAAGTTGAAAAGAATCAATGATTGTATAGCTCCTATTTTCTAACTTTAATAAACTTTTAAAAATATACTTTTAAAATTTCTGATCATTCTAACTCATATTCAATTTTATAAAGTTGAGAAGTTGAAATGTTGGGTAACTACTATAGAATTGAAGAACATATTGCACAATTCTCAGTTTGAGAATTAGGTGTAATGATGAATCAGAGACATTTTGCAGGATATCTAGCCAGGCCTCATTCCACAAGCTATGGGAACAAACAACAAAGTTAGACTTTGAGTCCCATTCAGTTGTTCTTATCTCCTCTCCCCCAGGGAGATTTTTCTCTCTGATGAAATCTTTAGTCATAAAGAGCTCATTTTGAATGTTTTTCCTCTTGGCTCCTTTGTACACAAGAGGCAGAGGAGAAGGAAGTGCAAGGGGAATCCTGCTAAGCGTTAAATACTGTATGTGAGCCAGGCGGACTCCAGCTTTCACACCTTGGACTTGAAGTATACATTGACAACTGGGACATCTTTCTTGGTAATTCCTGAGATTACCTTCAGCAGCCCAATCTTAGCTATTGAATCTGAAAATAGTTTTTGTTAAATAGTAAATATATGAGCTTCTCAACTAATGGAAGAAATTGAGAAAGGAGCTTTAATTGGTTCCATATTGCCCACAGAGTAACAAGGAAGAGTGGCATAAAGGTAAATCACTAAAGTAAGTACCACAGCATAGGATGGAGAATAGTTAGAATGCATGACACAGGTAGAGCTGATGGGAGACTATTGAAATGATTCAGGTGTACAGAGATAAACACGTAATCTAATGGGGATAGTAAACCAGGTTTGAGATATTCTAGCAAATGTTTTATTTGCTCCACATATCAAATAAAACAAGTACTCATAAGACTTCAAGAGAAACATGTTATGCTATTAGATTATGTTTGTACTTTTCAATGTTAACTCAGAAATATTAAATAAGTAGATATCCTCTTTACAATGGAGAGAAAACAACATTCAACTTCTATTTGTCAATACTTTCTGGTTTGCAAGGGTACAGGCACAGACTACTTGTTTTTTATGTGGACTTGGCCATTTTGAGAACAAATAGGATATAAGACAAGCTCTAAAATTTTACTTAAAACCTTCCACAAGTTCTCTATCACCCTGGGAATAAATCAGGCTTCAAATGCCTGCTCCTCATCCTATATTTTATATAATTCAGTAACACAACTTCTTTCAAAGCATCATGTTCTCACTTCCCTTTGCATATGTAATCTTCTTCCTCTAGAACTTTCTCCTTCTTTCTTCACTTGGATAACTACTCTTTCAAGGCTAATCTTAAAAACCATTACCTGTGAGAAAACTTTATGAATCCCCTCCCTCTCCCTAAGTGACACACCTATTTATTCTATAATAACACTTTATTACTCAGAACTGTAGTCGCTCCTTTAGGCATCTGTAGGACTGTATTTCCCACTAGTCTATAAGCTTCATGAAGGTGAAGATCCATTTTTTTTTATTTACTGTGGTATTTTCAGGACCCATTTTCAAGAAAATGTCCCTTCTGGAATGATTTCATAATAGCAATTTATGGGGTAAATGAATAAATGCAAGAAGGAGAGAGAAAAGCATAGGGAGAGAAAGAAAAAGTATAGGAAAAAATATGAATGTAATATTTGCTTCAGACCCTAAAGGCCATATAAAGCTCTAGGCCCCAAATCACTAACAATGATTCAACTCTTGTTTTTCAGAAAGTTGCTATCTGCAAAGGATATGGTTGCTTCCTTAGCCAGAATATAGACAGAATGAGATGTCTAATCAAGATATGAATATTATTGTCCTATCCCCTGGCATACCTGCTCCACATCCAGAATGCAACCATGTCTGGAAATGGACACACCTATTATGAAAGGTAGAAGAAAAAATGTAGCCTGCTAATAAGGCATGGATCATTTGGGCATTCTTCTAGTTCTAGTTCATGTACATTCTCAGCATCTTAATGAATAAAATTAAACTGCAAGTGACACTTTGCTGTC